CATGCTTGTGTTAGAGTTACAAACGGAACACTGTAATTTTGGGATCTTTTTACGTGTTCAAAAGATCAGTCCTATACTTTCATATATTCTTATATCGAAGAATTTGGTGTAAGAGATGTAGTATTTTGAGAGAAAAGGAAATTATGCAAGAGATTCTAAGTTATTTATCTAAAGACACTTGATACGCAATCTACTTGTAGACTTCATAAGAAGTCTGTATAAATGAGTTAGATGATAGTTAAACAAGAAAATTAGTTGGATTACAACTGAAGATGTGAAACTCAGACATTAGGAATCCAAGTAATTAACACATATTTTAGATCAAAAAAATCTGAAAAATTCATTATACATAATTTCTAAATGATTTTTTAAATAAAAACTAAAATACAGACTTCAAATACAGTCTACTAGTATAATTAAATCAGACGTCTACCAACAACAGTTAAGTACTACTCAAACAAGAAAATTAATTTATACAATAAATATTACAAATAAATATGTCAAATTCACACAGAAGGAAACACATTAGATAACTCACATGTGAGAGCAAGAAAATCTTTAAAAATCATTATAAATAAAGTTATAAATGCATTTATAAGAAAATTAAAATTGCAGACTTCACAAACAGACTCCTACAGTAGACTTCATACGCAGTCTGCTAGAAAGAGCGAAAGAGTAATTAATCATGAAAAATAGTTGGATTATAACTGAAGATGTGAAACTCAAACATAAGGAAGACAAATAATTAACACACCCTTTAGATCAAGAAAATCTGAAAATTTTATTATACATAATTTTAAAATGACTTTTTAATTAAAAGCTATAATACAGACTTCAAATACAGTCTACTAGTAGACTTAAGTCAGACGTCTACCAACAACAGCTAAGTACTACTCAAACAAAAAAATTGATTTATACAACAAATATTGCACCTAAATATGTCAAATTCACCCAGAAGAAAACACATTAGAAAATACTCATGTGGAAGCAACAAAATCTAAAAAAATTTCATTATAAATAAGTTTTAAATGCATTTCTAAGAAAATTAAATCAGTAGACTTCACAAGCTGACTTCTAGAGTAGACTGCATATGAAGTCTACAAAATGAGTTATTTTTGCAATTACGGCAAACGCTAGCAGACTCTATTAGAAGTTTATTGGGTTATTTTTGCATTTGACCAGAGTTCGACTTTTTCGAGCGAAATAAAAAGGTTATTTTCGTAATTGACCAGAGTTTGACTTTTTTCCAGTAGACTTTTTCTGTACTCTACTAAATATGCGGAAAACCATTGATATCCAGTACACTCTATAAGAAGTCTGCTGAAATAAGTATACTGCAGATAGAGTCTGCTCTATAAGGAGGGATTATATTTGCAATTGATCAAATTATTGACTTTACCAATAGACTCCATCTGAAGTCTACTCTGTAAAGAGGTTAGTTTTGTTTTTGGCCAAATATCGAATTAATTTATCAGTAGACTTCTTTAGAAGTTTGCTATTTATAATTGAATTAATAGCAGACTGCATAAGAAGTATCCTGGTCAATTATTGAGATTTTGGTCAAACGCAAAACTAACTCGTCCGTACAAAATAGATTTCAGATTGCGTCTGCTCAAAAAGTCAACAATCTGGTAAATGCCAGAAATAACCTCGAAGCAGACTCTATCTGCAGTCTCCGGTCAGCGTCACCACCGAAAATCTACTATAAAAAGTCAAGTTTTGGTCAAATGCAAAAGTAACCCATTTTCAAGTAGACTTCATGTGAAGTCTACGAGTTTTTTTTTGGTATTGAAGGAAAAGAAACAGACTTCACGAGTAGTTTATTTTGAATATTTTTTTAAAAAGGCAATTGCAAATCTAACATTTCGTTGACTAGCAGACTTCTTATGCAGTCTACTATCGCGAACCAGATAAAAAAACACGGTTTTCAGCTCTGTTTCCACCGTAGAGCTCGGTTTTCAGCTCTTTCAAGCACCTGAAACATCTAATCTGACCGTTAACAAATAAGCTCAGTCATCGTTTATGCAAGAACCATTGAAAATCGATAGATTTGAAGTGAAAGAATTTTGAAAACCAAATTTATATAGTTTTTTGGATGAAATTGAAGAGGAAATGGGTGAAGAATAAGTAATGAGTTCACAAAAAAAGCTCTTATCAACGCAAAATCAGTTGGAGAAGCATTTAGAGCTTGATTTTGGTTGTTCATGGTGGTTGAAAATATTGATGATAATAGCATTTTCGTAAATAAGTTGATATATTTGGGTATTTATTTAGTGAGTTTGTATGTCTGATTTTTTTTAAAAATTAAATCAAATATAATGACATTTCCGTAAATAAGTTTAATTTTATAGTTGGTTTTATAAACTTTTGATGAGAGAAGAACGAGGGTTTAGAATTGTAATTGAACCCTAAATTTTGGGTTAATTCAATAAGTTTCCGTTTTTTTGTCAACCATTTATAAAATTTATAATTATATACTTTATAAATTAAAATATTAAGTAAGTTATTTGTATTCTAAATTTTACTTAAGATATTCTAAATTTAATATTTTTTTAAAAAAGTCTATTGTATTAAATAATTATATATTTTGATTTGATATATTTACATATATAAAATAAATAAATGATAAAACTAAATTTTTGAAATTCATATGATTAATAATAACGATATTATTGATTAAAAAATTAATAACAAAAAAATCACCAACAATGCGTCAATAATAAAAATCAAAATAACAACATATTTCATATT